CACATGCACCCCAGCCGTTCCAAGGACGTGGTGGAGCCTTTGCTGCGGCCGCAGTGGTACGTGCGCTGCGGGGAGATGGCCCAGGCCGCCAGCGCTGCCGTGACGAGGGGCGACCTCCGCATCTTGCCCGAGGCCCATCAGCGGACGTGGCATGCCTGGATGGACAACATTCGGTGCGTAGGACCCTCACAGTGGGGGCAGCTGGGTGAGGGGCTGAGCAGGGCCCAGGCGAGGGCACCTTCCTGCTTCTGACCCCACCACTCCCACCCCGTGGCCACCATCTGCAGGGACTGGTGCATCTCCCGGCAGCTGTGGTGGGGCCATCGCATCCCAGCTTACTTCATCACCGTCAACGACCCGGCTGTGCCTCCTGGGGAGGTGAGGCTGGGGCCAGGGCTGGGCGCTGCAACATCTGGGGCAGCTGTGGATTCCTTGGGTGCTTGGTGGAGGGAGGGGTCAGGGCTTGAGGTCTTAGGGAGCAAGACAGAGGCTCCCCCTTGGGCGCTCATCCCACTCGTGGCAGGACCCCAATGAGCGGTACTGGGTGAGCGGGCGCAGCGAGGCGGAGGCCCGGGAGAAGGCGGCCAAGGAATTTGGAGTGTCTTCTGACAAGATCAGCCTCCAGCAAGGCAAGGCGAGCCCTGGGGTGGGGGACTGGGCAGAAATGGGGCTCTGGTCCTCCCCTACCTTCTCTGACCTCTGACCTCCCTCAGATGAGGATGTGCTAGACACTTGGTTCTCCTCTGGCCTCTTCCCCTTCTCCATCCTGGGCTGGCCCAACCAGGTGGGTTCCTGGGGTCAGGCAAGGGTGGGGTGGGGGTCTTGGAGGTGGGCACTTGGCTCCGCATCATGCCCTCCTCTGCCCTCAGTCGGAAGACCTGAGTGTGTTCTACCCGGGGACACTGCTAGAGACGGGCCACGACATCCTGTTCTTCTGGGTCGCCCGGATGGTCATGCTTGGCCTGAAGCTCACTGGCAGGCTGCCCTTCCGAGAGGTTTGAAGACTGCCCAGACCCCTCCCACAGCCCATCCCAGGCTTATCGTGGGTGGGTCCCAGGGCAAAGCGTCTGCGGAGGGCTGCGGGAGAGCCTAGGTGGGTAGTCAGGCTCACAAGCCTTGTCATCACCTGCCCCATAGGTCTACCTCCACGCCATCGTGCGAGATGCCCACGGCCGGAAGATGAGCAAGTCTCTAGGCAATGTCATCGACCCCCTGGATGTCATCCATGGAGTCTCCCTGCAGGTGGGGCTGGGCGATGGGCCACGCCAAAAGGGGCTGTGGGGCTGCAGCCACTACTACTAACACTCCCACCCTCAGGGCCTCCATGACCAGTTACTGAACAGCAACCTGGATCCCAGCGAGGTGGAGAAGGCTAAAGAAGGGCAGGTATGAAAAAGGTGGAAACAACCTAAATGCTCATCAGTGGGTGGATAGGCAAAATGTACATACACACAATGCAATACTACTCAGCCATGAAGAAAATGAAGTCCTGATACACGCCACAACACGAATGAACTTTGAAAACATTATGCTGAGTGAACTAAGTCACTAAAGGACAAGTATTGTATGATTTCACTCAGACAAAATATCCAGAAGAGGCAAACGTATAAAGACCAAAGTTTATTAGCGGTTACGTAGTGGGAATGGGGAGCGGGGGCGTCATTGCTTAGGAGGCACTGAGTTTCTGTTAAGGGTGATGGAAATATCTGGAAATAAATAGTGGTAAGGCTTGTGCAACATGATGAACATAACTAATGTCACTGTATACATATAAAATGTAAAAAAAGAATGTTGTAATGGCAGATGTTTTGTCATATATACGTTTTTACTACAATTGAAAAATAAAAGGGCAAGTGTGGAGGTGGGGCTGGCTGAGGATGCCCCCTCTCTCTTCTTCCTGTAGAAGGTGGACTTCCCGGCGGGAATTCCCGAATGTGGTACAGACGCTCTCCGGTTTGGACTCTGCGCCTACACGTCCCAGGGTATGGTCCTATGGCCTTTCCGTTGGCCACCTCCTTCCTCCTTCCCTGAGGCCCACCCCTTTCCTCCTCCACTCTTGGCCCCTGGTGGGGTCTCACACTTCACCCCACCCAGGCCGGGACATCAACCTAGATGTGAACCGGATACTGGGTTACCGCCACTTCTGCAACAAGCTCTGGAATGCCACCAAGTTCGCCCTCCGCAGCCTTGGGAAGGGCTTCGTGCCCTCACCCACCTCTGAGGTGAGGGCCTGGTACGTGGGGAGGCAGGCAGCACCTATGCAGTCTGTACCCCTGCCACTCCGTCATCAAGCCCATGTTGTGCCAGGATCACAGCCAGAGAGTCGAGGCTCAGCCCCTTCCCCTGAGGAGCTTCCTTGTAGTTGGGGGGACATATGGACACAGGGACAGACTGGTTATGGGGAAAGCCCAGAGCATTGGGGCTCTCCCTAGAGGTGACTGGAGCCTGTCCCATCTCCCCCAGATGCTGGGCATATGCTTGGTTGCTTTGGACCCCATTTGGCTCCTGCCCCCAGTTCTGGCCCCTGCCATATGGGGCCCCCTGGCTGATATGTCCACTTCCCCCCTAAGCCTGGAGGCCACGAGAATCTGGTGGACCGCTGGATCCGCAGCCGGCTGGCTGAAGCCGTGAGGCTCAGCAACCAAGGTTTCCAGGCCTACGATTTCCCAGCCATCACCACTGCCCAGTACAGCTTCTGGCTGTATGAGCTCTGTGACGTCTACCTGGTGAGAAGGAGCAAGTGGGGCCTCCAGGAAGGGGCAGAGGACTGGGGAGACAGAGCCCTGGGTCCAGCTTTGCCAGTGTTGGGCCATGAGACATGAGTCACCCCTTCTCCCACCCTGACCCGTCCCTCCCTGTCCCCTAGGAGTGCCTGAAGCCTGTGCTGAATGGGGCGGACCAGGTGGCGGCAGAGTGTGCCCGCCAGACCCTCTACACCTGCCTGGACATTGGCCTGCGGCTGCTCTCCCCCTTCATGCCCTTCGTGACTGAGGAGCTGTTCCAGAGGCTGCCCCGGCGGGCTCCACAGGCTCCCCCTAGCCTCTGCGTTACCCCCTACCCAGAGCCCTCGGAGGTATGGGGTGTGGCCTGGAGAGGGAACTCTGGCCTTCTCTTTTAGCCTCCCTCACTCCCTCCTCTGCCCCACAGTGCTCCTGGAAGGACCCTGAGGCGGAAGCTGCCCTTGAGCTGGCACTAAGCATCACGAGAGCTGTGCGTTCCCTGCGTGCTGACTACAACCTCACTCGCATCCGGCCTGACTGTGAGCCTCAGGCCCTGCTCCCATCCCGTCCCACAGGCCCCTTCACCCACTCTGGAACCCAGTATTAGGCCATGGCTGCCAGGCCTCCTGTCACTTTGAGGCCAGGCCTCACTACCTCCCTCTCCCGGCAGGTTTCCTGGAAGTAGCTGATGAGACCACAGGCGCACAGGCCTCAGCTGTGTCGGCCTATGTGCAGGCGCTGGCCAGCTCTGGAGTGGTGGCTGTCCTGGCCCTGGGGGCTCCTGTACCACAGGGCTGTGCTGTGGCCGTGGCCTCTGACCGCTGCTCCGTCCACCTGCAGCTGCAGGGGCTGGTGGACCCAGCCCGGGAGCTGGGCAAGCTGCAGGCCAAGCGTGGGGAGGTGCAGCGGCAAGCCCAACGTCTGCAGGAGCGCCGTGCTGCCCCGGGCTACCCAGCCAAGGTGCCCCGCAATGTCCAGGAGGCAGACAAAGCCAAGGTGTGTGGTGGGGAGGGCCCTTCACGTTTCTCCCCGCAAAACCCCTGCCATCATCAAGTCCAGGCTGAGAGGCCAGCCTCTTCCCTGGGAAATCTGGGGGGAGCACGGAGCCCAGGCCCATAAGCAAGTGGAGTCTGTGCCTGCGGGGGGCCATGGAATCCTTCTTACATGTGATGGGAGGGCACGGCCTAGGGCCACAGTTCTAGGCTTAGAACCGGGTATCCTGCCCCCCAGCCAGGTCCCTCACATCCCAACCAGCTGCCCTGAATATGGAATTCTACAGACCTGGGGCAGGGCTCAGGACCCCACATACAGTCAGGGAGCCCCAGGTCTAGCACCTACTTCAGAGCCCCCTGGGTATGCCCCTCCTGCACAGCCACTGCCTCCTGGCCCCTCCTAGGAGGAGCAGTGGGGTAAACCACACAGATGCAGAGGAAACAGTAATGGTGGTCAACCCAGGTGGGGACACTGAGGCCTGGGCACTTTATGGCGTCCATGGGCTCTGAGGCCTCTCTCTCCTTGAGGAAGGACCACTGAGAAGAGGCAGACCCAAGAGGGCAGGGGTGTTGGTGGGGAGGCCAGTGAGAATTCTGGGGGTTGGGGAGACCAGCCAGCTAAGTACACACTCCCTGAATTACCCCTCCCATGGTCCTTAACCCATCTTTCCAACCTTACCCCCTCTGTCATATGGGTGTTTGGGAGTCTGCTATCTTGGGCCCTGGTCCTCACCACCCACCACCCCCTTGTTCCACCTCCAGCTTCAACAGACAGAAGCAGAGCTCAGGAAGGTGGACGAGGCTATTGCCCTGTTCGAGAAGATGCTGTGATACACCCAACTCCAACCCTCATAGCCCCCAGTGGCCCACCATGGGGATGGCAGCAATAAACTATTTTGCCACAAAACCATTTCTTGTCTGTATATGTTGGATGGGGGCGGCTGCTGAGGGGCTGGGCTTCTGAGGCAGTGTGAGCAGCAGGAGGTCTGCAGGCTGGAGTGAGGCGCTGGGTCCTGGTGGGCATAGAGTTGTGTCTGTCTGGGCCTGTCCCTGGCACTGTACCAAGCCTGAGTCATGCTGCTTGCGGCTCCCTTCCTCTTCCCGGCTCTTCTCCACTCACCTCCGCACTGCAGCTGAGGGAGGCCCGCCCCTGGTATCAGCGGCTGCTCTGGCCTTGGGCAGGCATGAAGAGGGGCCAGGGGCCACCCATTCCACCCCTACCTGACCCTGCATGGGCCTCCCTCCCCCTCCACCGAGTGCTGGTTAATTATAACTCTGACCTAAGTGCCCTGTGACGCCACGCCCTGGCCAGCCCTGCCCAGAAGACCCAGCAGCCAGGTAGGGGAGAGGCCTGAGAGACTTTTGATGTGTGGGGGTGTCCCTGCAGTGGGGCTGGGGACTCAGCCTGGGGCTGGTGAGGGGGGGGCCCTGGGGAAGGGGCCGTGAACTTCTCTCCTGGCAGGTGTATGTCCTCCTGGCCTGATAAGACCTTCAGGTTGTCTGGGTTACTGAGGAGAGGGTAGGGAAGCCATGCAGGAGCAGATAAAGTGCTTGAGCCAAAGCCGGAGGAGGAGGAGAAGGCTCAACCAGGTCCCACGGAGACAAATAGCTGGGCCTGTCCTGGAATCACTGCTTCCCCTCCTTGAGAGCTTTCTGTCCCGTAGGTCGATGTCTTGACCATGCTGCCTGTGAAGGTGCCCCCACCCAACCTGGGCCCCTCAGCACTGCTCCTGCTGCAGCTGCTGCTGCCCCCTACATCCGCCTTCTTCCCCAATTTCTGGAGCCTTCTGGCTGCTCCCGGCTCCATCACCCACCAGGACCTGACGGAGGAGGCGGCGCTTAATGTCACTCTGCAGCTCTTTCTGGAGCAGCCACCTCCCGGCCGCCCACCCCTTCGTCTGGAGGACTTCCTGGTGAGCATCCCAAACCCCATCACATCCCAGCTGGATTCCCCAATTCCCTGGAACCTCTGCTTGAGGGACCTGGTTGCCAAGAGAAGGGAGGCCCGCCAACCCTCAGCAACAATGCCCCAGGAGGTCTGGTCCTGGAAATCAAGAGTCTTCCCTCCTTAGAAAGGCCCAGGACTGCCCCTCCCTGGTAGGGCCCACATTACCCTCAATTCCTTCTATACCAGCCTTGACTTCCAGGCAATTGTCCAATCTAAGGGGCTTCCCTGGAGCCCCTGTCCCCTGCCACTCTCCCCAGGGCCGCACCCTTCTTGCCGACGACCTCTTTGCCGCCTACTTTGGGTCTGGATTTCCTTCCCGACGGTTCCGAGCAGCCTTAGGGGAGGTGTCTCGTGCTAACGCAGCCCAGGACTTCCTGCCAACTTCCAAGAATGACCCTGACCTGCACTTTGATGCTGAAAGGCTTAGCCAGGCGCGCACACGCCTGGTGACAGCTCTAAGGGAGACCCTAGTGGCTGCCAGAGCCTTTGACCACACCCTGTCCCGCCAGCGCCTTGGGGCTGCCCTTCATGCCTTGCAGGTGAGAAGAGAGCTGCAGGTAAGGTAATGGTAAGAGGGGTCTTCACTTCCAGTCTTCCTGTCTCTCAGATGGAGAACTTTCTGATGGTGCCTTCTTTATCTTACCTCCTCCAGTTCTAGAAGGGATTGGGGCACTGCCTGCCAATGCCCTGAGACTATTTCCTAATTCCCCACCCCCCAAAATGGCAGCACTACCTGTGGAAACAGCAAGGAGGCCATTGTGGTTAAAGAGAAATGAGAGTGAGAGAGGAAGGTGGTGAGGTCGGAGAGATGAGGAGGAGCAGCACGTCATGTAGGGCCTCGTCGGCTGTTGAAAAGCCTCTCTGAGTGAGATGGAAAGAAACACTGGGAGAGTTCTCGCTTTGGGTAAAACTCAAAATAAATGAATGAATGAATAATTAATTGTTCTGGGCAATGGGGAGAGAGCAACAGAGGGAGACGTGGGATATCTGACAGAAGCAGTGGGGATGGGAGGCTTTCTGGGTGAGGAACTCGAGGCAGTGGTGTGTTAGGGCTGAAGATGTGTGGGTAGCCTCACTCCTCTTCTCCTTCCAACCCCCCGGGGACCAGGATTTCTACAGCCACAGCAACTGGGTGGAACTGGGGAAGGAGCAGCCACACCCTCACCTCCTGTGGCCAAGGCAGGAGCTTGGGAGCCTGGCACAAGGTACAGACATGACCCAGGTGGTCAGTGGGAGCCCACTGAGCCACTTCCTCTCTGTCTTACCCAGCCATGGTGTCACATGACATAAGATGTGGCATCATTTCATCTCTGCAAGGACCTGTGAGCTCCCCTAGTCCAACCAAGGGCCAGGTCGATTATGCGGCTTCCCCTAGGTCACACAAGGAAGAATAGAGCCAAGACCAGGTCTCCAGACCTCAGTCGAGTGCTCGTCTTTCATGTGGCTTCCTCCCCATACTGGGTCACAGAATGCCTTCTCATAGTTCCCTCATCCTCCCAGCTAGACTTGGAACCAGAAGCTACCTCCTGTGCCCATTACAAGTTCACCGTGTGTCCACAGCTCACAGAGGGCATAATCCCCATGGATGGGTTCTCAAACTTCCTGGGTTTTCTAGCACTGTCACAGCCTCAAACACTCAGTGTCATTGCCAGTTCATGAACTTTGAGTTTTAGTTCTAAAAGCCTAGTCATGGTACCTATAGGCTTTTCACTTTGTTCCAGTTGGGAAGAAAAGCCAAATAAGTTTGGATGGACAGGGATAAAGGCTGGGGGCAGGGGAATCTTGGGTTCTAGCCCCTTGTCCTCTCTTCCCAGAAAGTGACCCTACCTGCTCCGATTGTGAGCAGTTGAGCTGCCTTGGGAATTTGCTGGACTTCCAGTTCCTCACCTCTGGCTACTTTGGAACACATCCTCCCAAACCTCCAGGTACTAGACATGAAAGCCTCTCAGAAGCAAGGGGAAAAAGTCCTTTCCTTTCCACTGACCTTTTCCCTCAAGCCCTCGGTGCTGAAGGCCCTTCTCCCATTTCCTATGGCATCATTTCCTGGAAGAAGGAAAGGATGTTGGTAATGGAGTGGGTGGATGAAAGCCCACTGAGGTGGCCATGATTGTTGGGGTTGGACAGCTTCTTGCTCAGCTGATAGGACTTCTCCATTGCCCATAGGCAGCTTTTGGGGGCTGACTGGAGGAATCAGGGATCCACTGTGTGCCGTGGTGACTGACCCCCTCCACATTTACTCCACATTTGCCCTCCACAAAAAGTCACTATTTCCTGCTGATCCTTTGCAGAGGTGAGAGGATCAGGCCAGGTCAGAAAGGTCATCATTTTCTTAGAAAGCAGTGGATTTTTTACCTCCATCCTCCAGGATCCCTTTTCCCATCCCAGGGAAATGCAGCCATGGGGGCTATTTTGACCAGAGCAGCTCCCAGCCACCCCAAGGAGGCATCAACAAGGATAGCACATCCCCAGGCTTCTCCCCCCACCATGAGCTGCACCCCCAGGCTGCAAAACTGGCCCTTCTAGCCTCCATCCAGGCCTTTAGCCTCCTGCGAAGCCGACTGGGAGACAGAGGTTTCTCCAGGTGAGTGGCCTCCTGGAGATGGGCTCCCTTATGGGTAAGTGCTCCTGGGGGAGCCGAGAAACCGAGGATTGGGGATGAATGTGTGGACCCTTCACTGGGTCTTTTGCCTGCTCCCCAGGCTCCTAGACATCACCCCAGCCTCCAGTCTGAGCTTTGTCCTGGACACCACGGGCAGTATGGGTGAGGAAATCAATGCTGCTAAAATCCAGGCTCGCCACATTGTGGAGCAGCGGCGGGGCAGCCCCATGGAGCCTGCCCACTATGTCCTGGTACCTTTCCATGACCCAGGTAACCGTGGTCTAGGCAGGAGAGCTGGGGGAAGGAAAGTCCAGGGCAAGGGATGCGTACCCCTGGTGGGAAAATGGGCCTTGTAGCTCTAGTTTTTTAGCAAAATGGTGGAAACATCCTATGGTCCTGAGTGGGCCTTTACTGGGTACGTGTGTGTATAGGGAACAACTGGCCCTTTCTTCCACTGTTTCCAAAATTTCAGCATTTGCCATGACGTTTTTTTTTTTTAAAAAAAAATAATATATTAATACTATGTTTTGATGTTGTTTTGATTTTTTTTATTATGGCAAATATATAGGTAACAAAACACTTGCCATTTCTACAATCTTCACATGTACATTTCAGTGTTCCATATGAGTTTAATGCATGATCCATGCTTAGGCAGATGGCCTCTGCTTTCTTAAGCTTCCATGCTAATAAGTCATTTTCAATTCCCTCCATTTCCTGTAGACAGAGATTGGGATGAAGATCAGGGGTTGTTGGGTCCATACTTCTGCAAAGTGTCTAAGACAACTAGCTATATCACATTTCTTTCCCCACTGAATTAGAAGTCAAAAGATCTGGTATGGGTTGACAAGTCTTACTATATATGTCCTTAGGCTGGTCATTTAACATCATTTTGCCTCAATTTTATCATCCATAAAATGGGTCAGTATACTTGCCTGACAAAGAGCCCTGGTGGTACAGTGGTTAAGTGTTTGGCTCCTAATGGAAAGGTCAGTGGTTTGAGCCCATCAGCCACTCCAAGGGAAAAAGATGTGGTGGTCTGCTTCTGTAAAGATTACAGCCTTGGAAACCCTATGGGGTAGTTCTAGTTTGTCCTATAGGATCGCTATGAATCAGCATCTACTTGACAGCAATGGATTGGGTTGGGTTGGGCTGGGTTTTTATGCCTGCCTTATCCTGCCTATCTCCCAGGGTTGAAATGATGATCAAATAAAGTGCCTACTGGGCTAGGATTTCCCGAAGGGCAGGGTTTGAGTCTGCTTTGTCTATACAAGTCTTATCGTGGCTGGCACTTAATAGGGACTCATTACGTTTGCCGAGGGTACGAATGAATGAATAATTAGGAATTTAGCACTTATGTGTCAAGGCACTATTCTAAGATTTACAAAATCAACTCATACAGTTCTACCCATAACCCCTTGAGGTACTATTATTTGCTCTGAGTTTTCTGATGAGGAAACTGAAGCCCAAATTGCTTTTTTATACACACACACATACCTAATAAAGGTCCACTCAGGAGCACCATTTTGTTAAGGGAATGGAGTCATGAGGCCCACCTTCCCACCAGGCCCAATGTTATTTCAACAGTTCTCCACCGCAGGAGCACAGCAGACATGTCAAATGGGGAGGTGTCCCTGGATGGGAATGAGGAGAGCCCTCTCCTCACTCATCTCAACCTCTTTCCCCCTCTCCAGGGTTTGGCCCTGTCTTTTCTACCAGTGACCCAGACAGCTTCTGGCAACAACTCCATGAGATCCATGCCGTGGGAGGTGGAGACGAGCCTGAGATGTGCCTATCAGCCTTGGAGGTCTGGCCCATCCCTTCTCCTCTTCTTATCCCCTTCTTCCCAGGACTTACCATGAAGAGAAGCTAGAAACTTCCTGGGACAACCCCCATCTTCCCTACTCCCTTCCCCATCTTCACTCCAGCATTCCAGAGCCATATTTCCTTCTTCTCTGCCCTCCTTTGCTCTCCCTATCTCCCTGCCACTGCCATTTTTAACATTAGCCCTTTCCTCCCTGCCAGCTGGCCCTGCTGCACACACCTCCACTCTCAGACATCTTTGTCTTCACTGATGCCTCCCCCAAGGATGCCCTTCTCACCAACCGGGTGGAATCTCTGACTCGGGAGCGACGATGCAGAGTGAGCATAGGTGGTGGGAGACAATGTTAGCCACCCAGTGATGTGGAAGACCCTATGTCAGCAACCTCATAACGTGTCACACCACACTATGGTGGCAGAGCAGCCTTGGCACGGGGTGGGGAGAAGCAGGCAGTTAATGTCATGTTTCCTGATGCCATTAATAATACTCAAGAGTGTGAGGCCCTACCCTTACTGATGTTGAATTCATATTTGAAACTGCTCCAATAAACCACTTGAAGAACTGGAGATATAGGTACCAAAAATCTACTGTGAAATATTCTGGTGACCGTTACAAGGGAGTGACCAACTATTAACTGAAGGCTGGAGGGCTGTATCATTGGAGACCCCACAGTAGCAGCCAGAGGGCAGAGAGAGACCTTATCAGCAATCAGCTCTGCAGAAAGCTTGCGCACAGGAGAACCCTCATTCATGATCGTAGATGGCACTTGGACACCACAAGTACTAGGCTCTCTTCTGGCCATAGGTGACATTCCTAGTGACTGAAGACCCATCAAGGGTTCAGATTCGGGCCCGGCGTGAGGTCTTGTCCCCTCTGCGTTTTGAGCCATATGAGGCAGTGGCCCTAGCCTCAGGAGGAGAAGTGATCTTCACCAAAGACCAACACATTCAGGATGTGGCAGCCATAGTTGGGGACAGCATGGCTAACCTGGTAAGTGTGGGGGCCAGAGGGGCCAGTGCCTTGAGCTCAGAACTGAGGGAATAGGTGACATTGTATCTCTCTTTCTCGTAGTTAAAAGGGGAACAGATCCCATTTCTGTGTTGTCATTCACGTCAGAAGGGTGGGAAAGGAAGCTTCCTTCCCTTTGAAATTCATGGCTACCCACCTTCCACATTGTTCCTTCCATATTAGTACCACCTCCCATCTTGGTCTCCAGTATTCTGCCCTCCAGGCTGCCACAGGAAGTTCTGCCATCTTTAAGGGGGGGGGCAGGAAGTGAACACCTCATCCTTAATCCCTTGCCCCCAAGTTTGCCATTGACTATAATAATCTCACCCCTGTTCCTGTGCGCCTGTCACAGGTATCCCTTCGCCATGTGTGACTTAATTTCTTTCTGTCTCTGTCTTTCTCCTGTCTTTGTTCCCACCTCATTCCATGTCTTATCGTCCCCCCTATTTTTTGTTCCTGCCCATCCTTCAAGGTGACCCTTCCCCTAGAACCCCCTGTCGTGGCGCCTGGAAGGCCGCTTACATTCAGTGTGGATGAGCTGCTACAGAATATTACAGTCCGGATCCATGGGGAGATTAGCAGCTTCTGGATCAGAAATCCTACAGGTACTTCCATGTTTGTGTCTCAAGGGAGGGAGAAGAATAGACACTGGAGAATGAGGGAAATGGGAAACTGGACTTCAGTTCTGAGACATGGAGGGAAAAGAGAAAAGGAATTGCCTCATGTGGCAATCTTTTGTCCTCTCCCCTCAGGGGTCTTTCAGGGCCAAGAAGAAGGTGAGGGTCCTTTAGGTCACACTCGACGTTTTGGGCAGTTCTGGATGGTGACCGTAAATGACCCTCCACAGACAGGGACCTGGGAGATCCATGTCACAGCTGAGGGCACCACCCGAGTGAGAGTGCAAGGTAAGGTGGGAGGTACTCCTGTGAAGAGGAAGGGGAGACTGCAGACCTCAGAGAGCTGTGTCAGTCACATTCATCTTGGGAAGGTCTCTGACTGCCTTTGCCCTCCTTCAGCCCAGACCTCACTGGACTTCCTCTTTCACTTTGGGATCCCAGTGGAGGATGGGCCCCACCCTGGCCTCTACCCCCTGACTCAGCCAGTTGCAGGTACACCTGTTTCCCCGCCCTCCCCCACCTCGTTCATTAATCCTCTTAAAATATTGTTTTAAACTTTTGCGTTATAATTTGCATATAGTAAAGTGCACTAAGGAGTCCTGGTGGTGCAGTGGTTAAGTCCTCGGCTGCTAACCGAAAGATACCACCAGGAGAAAGATGTGGAAGTCTTGAAAACCCTAGGGGGCAGTTCTACTCTGTCCTGTAGGGTCACTATAAGTCGGAATCGATGGCAACGGGTATTTTTTTTGGGGGGCGGGGAGTTTAAAGTGCACTTATCTTCAGTGTATAGCTTGATGAATTTCATATATACAAACCCATGTAATCATCACCTATTTCAAGATACAAAACATTTCCAACACCCCGGAACTCTCTCCTGGCTCTCCCCATCAGTACCCCTCAGAGGTAACCCCTTTTCTCCATCTTTACTCCCCAGAGGTAACCCTTATTCCGAAGGCCGTTCATCTTTTTAACCTGTGTTGCTGAATCTCACGGAGACCACTCTTCTCCCCTCCCCTGTCCCAGGTCTCCAGACTCAGCTGCTGGTAGAGGTGACAGGGCCCGGCTCCAGAGGCAATTCTGGGGGTCATGGGCCACGTTTCTCCCACGTCGTCCTTCGAGGGGTCCTGGAGGGCGCTGAGCTGGGCCGGGTGCCCTTGGAGCCCACAGGACCCAGGGAGCAAGGTCTCCTCGTGGCCTCGCTGCCGCCCACGCTGTTGTCCTCGCCAGGACCCTTCTCTCTGGAATTGATTGGCCAGGACGGCGGGGGGCGGGGCCTGCACAGGGCGGCCCCCCAACCCTGCGCTGTGGTCCCTGTTCTTCTGGAGGTGAGATGCCAGGGGAGGATGCTGGAGTTGGAGCAAGCTGGGCTAGATCGTACTCTGACTGGCCCACCTCCGCAGCTCAGTGGCCCCCCTGGTTTCCTGGCCCCGGGCAGCAAGGCCCCACTCAGCCTCCATATCGCCACTTTCTCGGGCCCTCAGGATCTCGACCTTAGGACATCGGTCAACCCCAGCTTTGCCCTCACCTCTAACCTCTCCAGGTGAAGCCCCCAAACCCTCCGGCTTCCTTCTGGCCCCACAAGCCGGTTCCCGGGCCTGGAACTCTGGCCCACGCTCATTATTCCAAGCCCCGCCTCTGGCCCCTTCTGATTGGCCCTCACTTTCCTCGTCTGCCCGCCCGCTGCACTTGGCTCCGCCCCTTGCAGTCTGGGGCTTCGGCAGGTTGACTGTACTCATTCTCCAGGGTTCGTCTTGGGCAGAATGAGTCCGCCTGGGGGTGCCTGTGGCTGGAGGTCCCAGATTCAGCCGCCCTGGACTCCGTGGTGATGGTGACTGTGACTACGGCAGGTCGAGAAGCCAACTCAGTGCCCCCGACCCATGCTTTCCTCCGGCTCCTTGTGCTGGCCCCAGCCCCCCAGGTGAGACGCCCCCCTTTTCCTTCAGAGGGCCGGACAAGGGGAAGGCGGTGTGGGCCTAATTTGGGTACAGCCCCAGTCCTGGCCTGACAGTCTCTCCTTCTGTCCCCCTAGGACGAGCTCACTGCCTTTGCCCACTCAACCGGCCCTGTCCTCACGACTGCCAGTCCTGCCTTTCGCCTCTCCACTTTGGTGACTCATGGCAGGGCCAGGGGACAGATGGCAGGCAGCCCCTGGTGGGGCACAGTTGGAGGGGTACTGCTCCTGCTCTGCTTAGCCTCTTGGTAACACAATAGCCCTTAGAGGTATGGGTCTCCCAGCGCTCTTTTCACCCTGCCCCATGGTCAAAAGGGAATATGGGCCCCACCTCTCCAAGCTGGGATGGAGGTTTTCCTTCTCATGCACTTTATCCTTTCTTTTTCTTAAAAACTATCAGTATAGGGTAGAGGGCAATGGATTTTCCCACAATGCACTTTCCCTACCAACCCTGTGGGAACCAAACCAAAGATTTTTGGAGAAAGTTGCTTTCTATTTCTCTGTAGCACCTTCATTCTACTACCTACTCATGTTTGCTCAGGCTCAGGTAAAGGGGAAGGTATATGGGAGGGGACTAAGAGTATAAGGAGTGGGGTAGGAGGTACCAGGAAGTGTTATTTATAGAATTTTTTAAATTTGAAACTCCAGAGCAACTTCTATTTTATTTTTGTATTTAAAGCTGAAGGACAGTTTCCATGAACTAAGGGATTCAAAGCAGAATAATTTTTGCACATCAAACAGGGGAGAGTGAGGACATGAAACACCAAAAAAATGAAATGGAAGTTTTCAGGAACAGAGGAGAAACTACACCAAGATGTCTGAACTTCAGCTGACCTACCACCTAACCCACTTAGGTGTTGAGTTAAGAAGCAGAAAAAGGCGGCTGAGGGTTCTGACTCTGCCTCCTCCCTCACCAGACTGAGGGGAGTGGGAGGAGGCCCTAGACAAGGGTAGGGCCTCTCTGCCCCTTGGGCTCAACCTTTTCCTCCTTTGGCTGGATGACTCCTTTCTGCTGCCTTGAGAATTCCTAGGGAAGAGGAGAGAAACAGTCTGGGAATCAGAGCTCCTCCCTGTGCCAAGAGTTGGGGCTTTGTGCCTCCCACGCCCCTACAGTTTACCTGTTGCTGCCTTAAGTTCTGCTTCCTTGGCCTTTCCTTCCAATCCTGGGTAGTGTAGGAACTAGACTTGTTCAGTGGATGTGGGGAGAACTGGGGGGAAATAAGCTGTGTTTTCTGTTAAACCAGTGCTGACCTTAACAACTCCCCTCTCTCTCCCTGTTTCCTGAAAGTCTAAACTAAAAACAGTAAACTCACCTTCCTCTGAATCAGATTCTGCAAATAGATGTTCACCTTTTGAATCTGGGATAACGGGGGGCCACAAGGATTTGAGTGTAAATCTGTTAGAAAATTCTAAAGAAGGGAGAGTTACAGGCTGACAACATGAAGAAAACCTGAGATCCACCTGCCACTCTTGTCCTATCCCCACAGGACGTTCCTTTCCACATCGACCATCTCCTCCTGGCAGGTGGAAAAATCCAATAGTCTGCACCTCCGTCTCTTCAACATTCTAGTTCCTCTATCCCCTCAAATAGCACAATACCCCCTTTCTCTATTCTTTATGGATCCTGTCTATCTTTGTCTCACTGGAATAATCCAGGCCACCTCCTCACCTCAGTGGAATGATCCAAATTATGTCTCTCTGAATGGAGTGCAGACCAACCCACTCCATCTCCAACAATGGACACCACCTACCACTCTCAGCATCCTGTCATTACAATGTTGCCTCCGATTAATGATGCCTGCCCATTAACTCTCCCCTCTCCAGGATGATCTCAGGCTGTGTCCACACATTCCCTGCCCCTCCCTACACACATACAGAGGCAGCCCCGTACCTCACCAAGGGCCCCCAGATGCAGCTGCTTCCACTGTGCCTCCCTCAGATGGCCCCCGAACCAGGCCTGGCATTGCTCCAGCAGCTCCAGCCCCTGCCACAGGGCATCCTGTTCTCGCTCCAGAGCCTGCATCCTCTGAAGCTGGAAGAGGCAGGAAGCAGAAGTTGACTCTGGGCTACTGCCATTCCTCTCAGTCCCTGACTGGGTTCATTGTCTGGTCACTGGGTATGAGCCCAGACTGACCACTGAGGACCTGGAGGGCAGAGGAAGGGGTAAGACTTGTAAGTCCTTAAAGTCGAGTAGAAATATGGGGGCGGGGGTGCAGATCTAGGGAGAGGGGCTTCCCTTGGCTAATACTCACCCAGAGGAAGAAGCTCCGAGCCCCTGGGTCTTGGCGGCTTGTCTCTAGTGGCAGCAGCAGGACTGTGTAGGGGGTTTGCACCAGGGGCAGCCCACTAGGAGCCCTGCTCCCCATGGCTCTGAGGTGGGAAGGGTGGAGCCACTCCCACTGGTGCAGCTGGGCGGGTCCCTGCCCTCCACCCCTGCTTTGCACCCATCCTGCCTTGTCTTTCAGCCTCTCAGCGCCTCCCCTGCTGTGTCTGTCTGAGGTTGGGGTGTTCCTACTTATGGGGAAAGGCCATCCCCCTTGGGCTCCTCTGTCTTCCCTCTACTCTGTTTTTGTAGGGCCTCCCTGAAGTGCTTTGTTCTCATGAACGCCCCCTGGGCAGAATCCGAGGGTCTCCCTACAGCAGTGTCACTGTGTTTTTAATGAGGCGGGGCAGGTCCCTCTTTGGACTCCTGCCTGGTGTCTCAGCTGCTGCCTATTCTCTTGTTTTGTTTTGGCTGGTCTAAGGAAACAATAACTCTATCCAAAACAAACTTTATTCCTAATATGAAACAAAATGTCCAGGGAAACTGAGGACTCTGGGTCGAAAGAGATAAGGAAACAAAGACGGCATGGGGTGTACACTGGGGTCTTGGGAAATTGGGGAGGGCAGAGGAAGAGCTCTCAGAGGATGGAGGTGGCCACAGGCAGCACTTCCTGACTCATGAAAATGTCCAAGTCCAGGTTAGGGTCTTCCAAATCCAGTTTCAGAAACTTATCCACTAAGGTCTGGCAACTGAAGGGGAGAGAGAATGGCGAGATTTATGGGGGAAGAGATACGTGTGTCTCTGGGAAGAAGGGAGAGGGGAAAGCTGCAATGCATGAAACCTAGGAACTTGCAGATGTAGAGACTTCAGAAAGAAAGAGTGGGTTTCTGAAGGGAAAGTGCTGGAGGAAGGCTCTCTGCGTCCCGGAGAAGATGCTAGAAAGAACAAAGACACTGGGCCACATACTCACTTTTCCATTTGAGTCTTTTTTAACAACTCCTTAACAGGCTTGATGGGTTTTCCACTGCGAATTAAGTCTGAGACCTAGGATCAACAGGAAGGAAGCGGGGAGAGGAGGTCAGGTAAGAGAGAGGAAGTAAGGGTCAGTCTTGTGGGCCCAGAAACCCAGGTCCCTGAGAGGAGCAGAGACAATGGGAAGGGATCCCTGGGAGGGAGGTGGTTGGATGTTTGGATAGCATCACCTCCTTGCTACGAGCAATGAGTGTGTCAGGAAGCCCAGCCTGTGCAGCTGTGTGAGAGGCACGGCTAGCCTTGGCAACACCTTCGCAAATCTGGTAGAAAAAGACAAGGTCGTCCCCATCCTCACAAGTCTCCATGGTCTTAAAAGAGAATAAAAGGGGACAGCGTGTTATCCATCATCATGCTTCTTGTCCTGAAACCCCTGGCCAATCCCCTTGGGGAAAAGGGAAGGGACATGGTCCTTGTGCTTAGGGAGCCCCTGTTCTATTGAAGTCGTTGATTCCCATCTTGGGAAATGCCCAGCCTAGGTGCCCCTAGGGGCTAGAGTGGTTTCCTCACCAAATACTTAATGAGGGGCCCTTGCGGCAGCAGCTGTAACTGAACAAGGCTCAGGAAGTTGGTGGCCACAAAGATCTGTGGGCACGTGGGTCCGAGCGCCAGCCAGTGTCGGAGCACTGCGGCCAGAAGTGCAAGCCCATCCACCTGTGTGGAGGGCAGGGGTGAAGGTGTGGATGTGGGCAGCCCACATGCCCCCTCCACCTGCCCTGGCCTTTCCTCATCTCCCACTCTGTTTCTCTTTTGCCCACACACCCCTATTCTTTCCTCAAGGCCCAGCCTCACCCTCATGCTCCATCCGCCTCCATTTTGCCTCCCTTAGTTTCTAATCATTTCTCCCCTCACCGTGTTGGTTCCCTTTCCAAATTCATCAATAAGGATCAGAGACTGCTCAGTGGCATTGTTCACTGCTTTCGCCACCTGCTGGACATGAGGTGGACAAAGGAGAGTCTGCTTAGCATCCGAGAGGCTTGTGACACACCAACCACAGTATGCCCGTGAATAAAGCTATTTGTATATGTGTCCACTCTACTGGACTACAAGTTCTTTCATGGCAAGGCACATGGTTTGTTCATCCCTTTATTGCCAACAGTGCCTTGTATGAAGCAAGGGTTCAATAAATGCTTATGGTATTGATTCTACCAGTCTCCGAATTGGGTGTTCTCTGCCCCTAGTGTAGAGGGCACGCAGGCAAAGGGAATGGTTTGCCTGCTCTGAGCATTTTTTGGGGTGGAGTTTCTTCCCCACCCTCCCTTCCTTCAATTCCACCCCCCTTTGCACCCTTTGACCTGGTTGAGGTCGATCATGAAGGTGGAGAGGCCAAGGGAAATGGATTCGCAGCTATGGATTCGGGTGAAGATGGCATCTACTGCCCCGATTTCAGCCTCCTCTGCTGGCACAAAGCTGCCCACCAGAGCCATGAATGTGATCAAGCCTACCTGAACAGGAGAGGAGACAGGGCCTGAGGCTTGATATGTGGGCTCAGGTGAGGTGAGGCTAAACTGAGGACGTGAATAATAAATCAAGGAGAGGTGGACACTGTTCAATAGAAGAAAAAAGGTAATAGAACACACTGTTCCTCTCCTCTCACAATCCTGATCGCCACTCCTTAAGCTCACTTTACAGTGGGCAGAGGCATACCTGGAAATCAGAGGTGGGTGAAGGGAACTCAGGCCATGTAAAGACTTATTAGATCTAGTAGAGAACAGAAGATGTGAGAAAGACCAGCATGGGGGTGTGGGCTCTAGTCTTTTCATGACAGATGGGGTCAAGATAGAGGGGAGAAGAGCTAGAGGGATCTGAGTTTGCTAGCAGGTGGGGGGTGAAGAAGGTAGAGAAGATGCCAAAGGCCCAGGCTGTAGGGATTCTCCTCACCTGTTTGAGGTATATGCTCTTCCCTGAGGAGTTGGGCCCAGTGATGACTTTGATCCGCCCTTTGTCCCCACCACATTCTGCAGAGTTGGGCACAAAGGTTCGGGCACAGAGTTCCATGAGAGGATGTCTGCAGTGGATAGAGAGGCACCTGACACTAGGCCTGTAGGCCCAGGTGGATGAACCCCTCAGGAGATACGGCCTTTGGGCCCCTTGGGCCTATGCCTCCACCCACCCTGTTCTCACCTGCCATTCTGGATTCGTACTCCAAGGAGCCTGGAGGAGTAGTGCGGCCTTGAGTAGCCATAGTCCCGGGCAGCACTGGCAAGAGCCAGCAGGACGTCCAGGCGGGAGGCAAGGTCCAACACCCGGGTCAAGACAGCTGCCCGAGCCAGCACCTGGCACTGCAGCTGGTACATCAACAGGGTCTCCTGGTCTGGGAGCAGGTAAGTGAAGGAGCTGGGGGTCAGAGCCAGGGGAAAATGAAGCAAAGATAAAGAGACCCACAGAGGGACCTAGAAACAGGCTTGCAGATACAGTCTGAGACCCCAAGAGACAGCAGAGAAGATGCAAAGTCAGAATGCGAGAGACTGCAGGAAGAGAAGACGCCTGTTAGAATAATCTCTGCACTCCCTCATACCCCAGCTGCCTCCTCTTGTTTCTCCTCACCCCGGATCTCACAGTGCAGGTCCCCCAGCAATGCATCCAGCTCCTTGGTTCGAGCACTACGATAGTGCAGCTTCTCCTCTGAGAGAAACTGGACACAAGGGTTCAAAGCTGGAGGCTTTGCTCTTGGTCCTCCTTTCCTTTTCCACCTTTCTAACTCCACCTCCAGCCTCCCACCCCAATTTCTACCTCCATTGTGTTAGAGCTGATAAAAATCAAAGTAAAACTACAGATGAGAGATCCCACGTTGGGCAGCACTCATGGGGTTAGGCCTCTTATCACCCCCACTACCTAGGTCGAGAGTCTCACCATGAAGTCCAGTCCCTCGATCTCAAAGTCACTGGCCTCTACCATGGAAGGCAGGCGGGGAATAGAAAGAAGGAAGCCAATCTGGGGAGAGTACAGAGGAGATAATGCAGAGAGCGACTGGCTGGGTTCTTCTCTCCCTAGAATAAGCCTAAAGACCCCTGTATCTCCCTCAGGAGGTTAAAGCCACCAACAGATGTTTGTGTTCTTCGGGCTTTCCCAAAAGTTTTCTTATCTACCAATGTGCCTCTCATAAACCTAACGTCTCCCCTAAAAGACCCCTGGAAGTTACACCCACCCTCCTGCCCTCACCAGAGGGATGTAGATGACACTGCATGAAGGAATACGGGAGTCCAGAGTCTCCAGCTCCTTCCGAGCGACCTCCGTGAGGAAACTGGGAAGTCCCATCAGCCTTCGTTTTTCTAGCAGGGGTGAAGACACAAAAGGAAAGTTGACTCTCTTTTCCTGCCCTGGTTGCTGTGATGATCCCCAATTATGGTAAATGCCTGCTGACACTACCCCATCTCTGGGCAGACCCGTGTGTCAGGACTCACAGGCCCTTCAGCACACCCAACACTCACTCTCGTCAATTTCAGGATCTATGTTGGAGAGGACAGTGAAGCGATTTTCAGCAAGGCTGCCCTCAAAGTCCACCTGAGGAGATAAGAAGTCCTGTTTCTTCTCACCCCAGCACCATCACTTAGTCCTGTTCCTCAGTTCTCCTTGGGCCCCAAGTTTCTCTGCATAGTCCCTGCTTCAACCCTAACCCTCCAGGTACATCCTGATGTTCTCCTCTTACCGTCCCATTCTTTAGTCACCTAACTGACCTCAAAGTCTCCCATGCTTCCCCATCTCCCACATTCCCCAGACCCCAGTCCCTCCCCATTCTCCAACCCTACTTCTCTCTCCTTCCTCTCTGGTGCTTGGCCTCTTTCCTTCCACTCACCACTTTCCCAATAAGGCTGGCAATGTGGTGCAGGTCATCAGAGAACTCCTGGGCAATGTCTTGAAAGAGCTGTATGGACTGGGGCAGGGAACGGCAGGCATCCCTTAGGCCCAGGGCACTGTACACAGTCTGTGGGTGAAATGGACAGAGGAAGGCGGCCCACACCCAGGCCGAAGCGAGGGAATAGGTATGGACTGAGACCAACAAAGACCAACAGGAAAAAACACAACAACAAAGAGAGAAGATCTCAAAGGCAAAAAGAAATAGATAGTGAGAGA